TCTTGCATCTGGCATGTCTAGAACTAGATGGAGCCTCATACTAGAAATTACACGGTTACCGTATCCTGTGTTCAGCTTTGACAATTCCTCCGTTCTTGCTTTTTTCTCTTTGTACGAAAGAGAATAAAACCATGTAAAAGGGAAGCTTGCCTCCTGCAACAGGGCACTCCACGTCTAGGGACCAAAGTCCCTCCATGCCACTACTGGAAGAGGTTAGAAGTGACAATGGCATTGAGACGGGAGGACAGTACTCTCTGGGGACACTCCCTTCCCCAAAGAATGCAAGCTACTCTTCTCTGCAAGCAATGGGCCAAACACATCAGACTTGGTAATTTTAGAAGTTGCCTATTTTTTCTCTTTTCTCAATGAGAGCCCAATAATTAAATACATCCATAAGGAAATTATACCTACGTCAATCTGCCAAACCAACGCTCTTAACAGTCAAGTACACAAAGAACACACATATTCATGTGTGGTAAGGGCTACATAATTATTTTTGTTGTGCATTGAGCTGTCTCACTTTTCTACAATGCCGACACTGAAAGCTCTACATCTGAAGCTTCCCAAACTCATCCAGGGCAGGTGGCAGGGAATGATTTTCAGGAGATTAAATACGTGACTAAATTTATATATATGTATGTGAATATGAAGCAAATCTTGTACTCTTCTTTCAAAAATTCCTTACAAATTCATATTTGAAAAATTTTCATTGTTAAATGCAATAGTGTTCACCTCATAGCTCTATTTTTATCTCACAGCTTTTAAGATATTTAAAGAGCGTATTCTCTTTTTCTAACTTTTATTACTTTTAAAGTTTTTCACTCTTCTTAACTGGGTCCCATATACCATTCTGAATGAAGATACACAGTGATTTCTCTACATGAGAATTAATAAAAAAGGGAACACTGAAGCAATTTTACAAAAGAAAACTGTTGAAACAAAACTTAGTACATAATTATACCTCTCTCCCAAGAAATTCAAATCTCTTTACGGACACCTTCATTAATTCTTTTAATATTCTTATCTATTTAATAGTGAATTCATTAACAAATTTTATAGGCAGAGAATAATGAAAAACTAATTAACCACCAAAAACTATATCTCATATTGTACTAACACGAAGCCTTAGGACTAAAATTCAGGTGCCCATTGATACAATGTTCAAGCTAAAGAAATTATTGGACTCAAACAGATAATTGGATGTAACCTCTCCAACCATAATTTTACGACATTCCTATGGACATGTAAAGTACTTTTTAGAAAAGTTACTTCAACTTTAGTAAAAGTCAACATATGCAAAATTAAAACACAGGGGCTGGGGATTTAGCTCAGCAGCAAAGCGCCTGCCTGGCAAGCGCAAGGTCGTGAGTTCGGTTCCCGGTACCGGAGAAAAACAAAACAAACAAAAAAAAAAAATTAAAACACACACAGCCCACCAATTAAATCCCCAAAGTACCAGCGAAAGTTTGTAACTTTAACGTTTCACATACAGCATTCAAGGTACCAGTTTACCTCTCTTTTGATAATGGGATCAGGATGGTCCAAGCACTCAATTATTGTCATCTGGTGTTGAAGAGCCAGGGTGGGATCCCGCTGCACAACGTAGGTAAGAGCCTTCAGGCCTAGAAGCAAAGATCACGTCAGAGGAAGTGGCTTGAAGCAAGGGCCCAGCGAAGTTCAAAAGCTCACTACAAGCTCCACCAGAAGGATCAATCGCCTTACCCAAGTATTTCAGATTTATTTTAGGTGACAGAACAAATTTTCCAATGCATTTGGCAGCCTTCTCAAGTAACTCTGACTTGGGATAGACAGAATAGATCGTATGCACACATTCGAACAGAATAGCTAGAAAAAATAGAGAAATAGCACAGTAAGGACGTATGTGTAGAGAACTGAAAGCAAACCAACTGGAAGATCAGTTTTAGTCAACAATCTTATTTCAAACAAACAACCGCTGTTCTTTTTAGGCTTGTACAGCTATTAGGATTAAGTTACCCCAGTATGACTTCAGGAAAATGGCACTGCTAGCAGGTAAGATCGTGTGCTCACGTCCAAGTATTCCACATCTCTCGTGCGGCAGACATGGCGTCAGCACGATGGGTACAGCAGTGAGCAGAGCTGACAGCACCCCGCCCTCGGGGAGCTCGCGGGCTGACGGACACAGGAACAACACGCCCACTCTTCCAGAGCGACAGGGCTTCCCAGCGCTCCCCGATGCGTACCGCCCTCAAGTGCTCTCTACCACGCAGACACGGAAACCGCGTGTGCGGCGCATCCCAGCGTAATCATCTAGGGTGCCTACGACTATTTCAAGGGTAGGGTCGCTACTCAAAACTCTTCCAGCTAGTTACTCCAAACTAACCTCAAATATATAAAAGAGTCTACTGTACACTGTGAGAGTGCTCAGGTTTTATTTTCAGGTACTGCCAAGAGTCTGGTAACTATGGTGATCAAAGTGGACACTAACATTTTCTCAAATTCTTCAAAAGAGCGTGAGCTGAGGAGTGGGAGCCTTGCCACGGTGAAGAGCTGCTGGGACCTCACGTCCCACATGTCCCAGGGAACTGCACCATCAGAAGTGACACAGGGACGACTCAAAGAGCTCGACTGCAAGGTGAAGATCAAGTGTCAGAATGGTCACTCCCTCTCGACCCCCAAAAGCTTAAAACGTAGGAGCCAGACCCCTTCTCTAGGTACAAGATCTACCCTGAATGTTCAAGTAGGCTATTTTACACTGTGTTGCCTATCGATAAATGCCCAATTCTGTAGGAAAAAAACTCTACGGCCTCTTCCATAAGAGAGGAAAACTAAATCAGAATCCCAACTAGTCTCTGAGAGGAAGCTGACTTTACTGTAAATGCTACACTGTAAAAGGAACCTAAAGATAACTCTATATATTCACATAATAAGCTGTAAAATGCCTTCACTCTGGGCTGTGAAAACAGGTGACTTTTTAATTTCGCAGACAAGACCAACTCCTCGCTCAAGTCACTACCAGTAACTGCCTAAAGCAGGAATGGACAGACTACCACAGTCCAGCCTCCGGTCTGTTTTTGCAAGTTTATGAATTAAAATGGTTTTTATAAAAAAATAATTTTTATATTTTTAAAAAATTGTAAAAAATAAAACAATATAAATATAAAGAAAACAGTAAGAATATATAACAGAAACTTATGTAACCTGTAAAACCTAAAATCTTTACTCTCCTGGCATACTATCTGAAGAAAGTCCACCGAGTCCTGACAGTCCTAAATAAGATTTAAAAAGGTGACGTTCCTCTTTCCATCATTACAGACATCTTTATCTGCTGTCTCCTGTCACTCAAAACTCTCCCGGTATCAAACTTGTTTTACTATGAAAATCTTGTCGTTACCCATGTAAAATCTATACTTTTGCTGGGCATGGTCATGCATACCTGTAATCCTAGCACTTGGGAGGCTGAAGCAGGAGAATCTTTGCAAGTTCAAGATCTTGGGTTACATAGGGAGATAGTATTTCAAAAATCAAAACAAAAAAATAAATAATTTAAATCTATACATTTATACTCATAATATTTCTGGGACGGTAGTATAGGAAAGATTAAGAGTTCAGAAATCGGGGGCTGGGGATTTAGCTCAGGGGCACAGTGCCTGCCTGGCAAGCGCAAGGTCGTCAGTTCGATTCCCAGTACCGGAAAAAACACCAAAAAAGAAAAAAAAAAAGAGTTCAGAAATCATGGGCAACAACTACTTGAACATTCAAAATAGACTGAGACCTCTTACTGCCTCAATTACCCTTTATCCATGCAGAATATAAATCTATCCTTCAAAATTCATTATTCCAACCCATACCACAGGCGCTATTTTGCCTACACCAGTCTCATGCACATAACCCTTTCTCCTATTCCAACGTCTGTCAAGCACTTTTTATTTCAATTAAACCAGTTCAATGCTGCCCGCTGGCCTATGCTTAAGAGCTACACCTTGTGGGGAAAAACAGCCCATGCCGCACCCCTACTCTGAGTGCAGCAGGCCTGCCTCGGCCTGGCCTAACCACAGAGCAAAAACACTGGGAAAAACTCTGCACCTGTAAATGTAAACGTAGTCCTCATTCCCTAAACAATACAGTGTAACTAACAACTACTTACACAGCGTTTACATCGTACCATGTATCCTAACTCTTCCAGAGAGGGTTGAAAGTACATGGGAGCATATAGGTAGGTTACACAGAAAAACACTGCCTTCAGTTTTTGGGGTGTTTTGTTTTGTTTTTGTTTGCAGTGATGGGAAGTGAATCTAGGGCCTTCACACTGAGCTACATCTGCTACCCTGTTTTTACTTTCTATTTTGAAACAGGGTCTCACTAAGTCACTGCATTGCCTACACTGGGCTCTAACTTTCAATACCCCTGCTTCAGCCTCCCAGAATGCTGGGGTCACAGTGTGCGCCCCACACCCGGCAATGGCAGTTCCCCTGAGGGACCTGAGCACCCCTGAAGTTCGGTATGGCGAGGGGTGGCCCTGCACACAGGACAACTGTACCTCACCAGTGAAATGACCTCCCAGCACTATTGTTCTCCAAAGCAGGCAAACTTTAAGCAGTGCTACTTACTTCTTTTAAATAGGCCCCAAAACCTCAATTTCTTCACTGAGCTTGTTCCAGCTGATCAAAAAAGAATAGTTCTTTTTGGCTAGAAGTGTCTGGATTCCTTCCTCAACTGTCCACCCTTGTCTCACGACTCACCCTTCTTGTCTATCACTAAATTACTTTTTGAAATCAGATATAACACAGTTCACTGTCTCATCACAAAAATCGGTTATGCTTCCACATCTATATATTCTTATCTATATCTCATTCCACCCTCAGACTGAGATAGAAGAAACAAAAACTAGGCAGAAAAAAATCTTACGGACAATAAGGCTACAAATCTAGGCTCCAGACCTGTCCTGTGAACCGTGCTTCCCCCGACCCAAAGGAAGCAGCAACACCGGTGGGCAGCAGATCGCACCCTGAAACACACACCGATGCTTGCACCGCAGCCTGGCAGACACAGGGCACACAGGACCACCCACCCAGAAGACGGCCCTCAGCGCAGCGCGCTCCAGCCCCAAAGCGCCTCCTCTGCGTGCCCACGCCCTACTCCTGAGCGTGCCCCAACTCCCTAAGAAACCCTTCTCATGTCTCTTACTGACACACCCTGGAAATTCTTCTTCCGAGGAGGGAGTCGGCGAATCTTACTCTACAGGGTGGGTGAGGTCCCTTCTCTCAGCCGCAGGGACCCTCAGACCCAGTGCAGTCACACGATGTCTTTTTAAAAACTGCTTTCCAGGAAAATCTTTCTCGTTCTCCCCTCGCCTAAGACTAGCTGCCACCTCCTCCTGCAGCACCCTGTCATTCTTGGGAAACATTCACAGCACCTCTCTACTTTGTGAGCCCAGTGACGGAACAGTTTCACTCACAGCTGTACTCCAAGAACCTGGCACAGGGCCCGACAAATAATAGAAACTTAATAAACACTTGGCAAGTAGTCCACTGATTTAAGAACTGTCTCCAAATAGAAATTTTACAAAATGTGAATCGAACTTACTGAGCTATCTTCACAGTCAATTAGATACTTGATAAATGTTTACAATAAAGCAACAATTATAATAAGGATTTAGGTCACTTAGAAAATCGCATCATTTCAAATTATTACTATTATTCAGTGCTTACATTAACCCAAAGAACAATCTTAAAATTATGCACAAGATTCTACTGGAATTTACAGTATTCTAACACAGGTTTAGCTTCAATATGAAAAACAGCATTAGTCACTGCAGTAGCACGTACATGTTACCTACCGTAAGTGACATTGTGACTTAACTCAGCTCTTCGCAAGGATTCATCAAGAACATCATACATTAATTCACTTGTCCTGTTTAAAAGATATTTTATTTGCAGTGGAATTATAGTATTCTAACCCAATAAAACACAGTTTTTCAAACTTCTCTCTCTCTTTAAACTGAGGATCTACAGAAGAGAAGTGAAAGAAATTCATTTTATGAAGTTATACAAATCTCGCTTCTAAAAGATTTCGTTTGCTCTTCTCATGAGTTGATCTTCTCATCTATCAAAACTGACTACTTAGTCCATGAGAAAATGTCAAGCAACTCTTAACCTGGTCTTTGTTTACAGACCAGGTTGCTAAGTGATTGAATACACTCTTTTATCATTTTCTTTGCAATAAAATAGTTCTACCTGTTATTACAGTAATACTTCACATATCCAGGTTATTCTAGACAATATATTGTTTTTAATCAATTTGTTGTTTTAAAGATATTCAAATACTAGGCTTTCCCTACATAGCAACTAGGTTCTTCAGTAAGAAACTTTAAACTTTCATTTGTATCAAAACAAAGAAATAAACCAGGTGTGGCGGTACATCCAGCGCTTAGGGAGGCTGCGGCAAGTGGATTGCCTAATTTGAGTCCTGCCTGGGCAGTTTAGCAACTCAGCAAGACCATGTCGTGAAAGTTAATTTAAAAAGGGCCAGCTATATAGCTTAGTGCAAAGGCCCTGGGTTCAATCCCCAGTGCTACCACAAAAAAAAAAAATGTGTGCGTGTGAGTGTGTGTGTGTGTGTGTGTGTGTGTGTAATTTAACAATTTCTACCAGGTATATGTCTTTATGTCCTTAATTACACTACACAATGGTAATTGGGCTATGATAGATAGCATTTAAAAAATAATGCACTGTTCACAGAGTCCTCATACTCTGCCTTCAAGTCTCTAAAAGGCCTCTTGAAGAGGTCAGTGTGAAAAATGCTGCTTCTCAGGTTTCTGTATGCTTTACAAACTCAAAAGGCTCTGATGGGAAAAAAAAACAAATGGCAACACATGCTACATGCAGCGGCACTAAGGAGAAACCAGGCTGCAAAACAAAAACTCCAAAATAACCTGGGGCTGTACAGATCAGACAGCAAGAACGTTGTATCTCTTCAGAAAAATTGATCTTCTTTTTCCCAAAATACAGCTAAAACATTTCATCTTAAGTGCATTTACTTTCATTCTGTCTTGACTGATGTATGAATACCCAGGACTATATTCTAAAATTTCTCATTTTGTTGCGTAAGTCTTTCTTTCGCAGCAGCAGACATTACCAATCCTCCCCGCAAAAATTTGGTAATGCTAACCCTAGATTACAGTGCAGTTTCTCAATTTCAAAAGCCACTGTCTGGCCTAAGAGTCATAATTAACCACATGAGATGCGGAAGCATTTGTGGACGAGACTGAGCCAAATGCTAATAAAAAGCACAATGCTATAAAACACAAAATACTCAAGCAAGGGTAGAAAAGGCTTTTCTGGGAATTAATTCTTTGAATTAAATGCTCTAGATTTCTGTTATAAAATGACATTTTTACTTTGCCACACTGAGCTAATCATGCCTCATGAATTCTAAGATTCCTGTTAACAAAATTTCATTAGAGTTGGGGCAGCAAAGGAGACAGCACCCTGGCGGCTCGTGACATTCAGAGGGCTCCAGCCTTTGCTCACTGGCTGGGCCTAGCTACACTCAGCACTCCAAAGGGAGCTCTCCTCACGCAGCCTTGTATGCGCTCTCCAAACCCACCCAGGAGGAAGGGAAGATAATGACTTCATGCATTTAGTGAGCAAATTCAACTTATGGCACTAAGTCTTTTTTAGACAAATAAGGTATGATGCACACTGATATGAAATTAGTGGTTTTAAAATAGAATTCCAATGACCTTAAACTACAGCTCCATATTAGGATGGGCTGGAGTTCCATAAAATAACGAAGATAAACATTTTTAACATGTTTCTGCTCCATCCCCTTCTTGCACTCCATGTCTCCATCAGGGCATTGTAAACATTGAAAACAAAATTTAAAAAAACCTAAGACAGTACCATGCAAAGTGACAAGGTACACTTAGCACCGAGCAGGAGCTCGCAGGAGGCCTTTCTAGGGCAACGGGCAACAGTGGGAGGACGGTCCACGGCAAGGTGAGGCTAATGAGTCAGAATACACACATGCTCTGCAGCGTGAAAGGGAGCCGCATCCGTACAGCCAGCACGCTGACGAGCAAATGGCTTCCTGAGACAGAAACACACCAGGAGCTCAAGCCAAGGTCCTTGTTCGCAAAGGAATTAAAATGTAATCGCTCTTGTTCATGTACAGTTCGGGGGGGTGGTGGGGAGTACGTGCCCTTGCATGCAGGAGGAGAGAATGATGAAGTGGGTGTAAATAACTGACAGTCGAGGAGCAGGTACGAAGGACCTTCCTTGTACTGCTCTAGGGACCATGCAAGCTTGTAGGTTTGAAAAAGTACGGCAAAATTTAAAGTTACAAAAAATATGTACTCAAAAAAAAAAAATATGTACAGGTGGGAAGACAGCCCAGTAAGTCCACCATAAACCACTGACTAAGAGTGAGTCACAGGAAACAGTCTAAAAATGAGGCACTCACAGGCGACCAGAGCGAGCACCGGCGGCCACCTGGCCAGGCACAAGCCTTTGTTCAGTGCAGGATAAGAGTCATTTTCACACTTTTTTAGTGGTTGGAGAAAAAATAAAAAAAGGACACCATTTCAGGGCAGGTGGAGACTCTGGAATGCAAGTTTCCACGTCCATGAAGTTCTTCTGGAGCACAGTGCTCGTGCTCTCCTCAGCCGCGGTCAATCACAAGGACAGAGCTGAGGGCTCCAACAGACAGCACACGGCCTACAGAGCCATTCGCTGGCCTTTGGGGGAAAAGGGGCAGGTTTTCCCAGCTGCTAGAGGAGAAGAGGAAAGCACCACGGTGGGGAGCGCCTGGGCAAGCACAGCGAGGAGCACCCCAGCAACCAGACAGGGATTACACGTCTTACACAGGTTTACTTACATCCCTCCTGAGCCAGCAAAAGCCCGGGCGGGGTCTGGTTACGATGAACCTCTAGATGACTAAAGCCTAAGGCTGCCAAATGCACATTAAGTAACTTACTTAGAATAGTTTACCTTTGGTCGTCTTTTCCTAGAAGTCCTAGTATTCTCAAAAGCTGAATTTGTAACCATGGGGCTGGTACATTGTGGTAATTGAAATCCACTGGGAGCTTTCCTCCAACTACCTGCTTTAAGATTGTTACAAAACTCCCAGTCAGGTCTTTATAGCCAGACGAATTCTCCTACATCCAAAAAGAAAAGCAACTTTCTGTGAATACAGTGTCTTCTCAAATATTAAATACAGCTAGTCGAAATGCCACATAGAACCTAGTAAATTAAAACATGCTCTCTTAGAAGTTTATATTCACTTTTTTTTTTTTTTTTTTTTTTTGGGTGCTGGGAATTGAACTCAGGACCTTGCACTTGCCAGGCAGACGCTTATGCCACTGAGCTATCCCCAGCCCCTATATTCACATTTAACAAAACAGTGTTTAGTATGTATCATTTCTCCTGTGATGAAACTCCTCCGGCTACCCAACCCAAAAGTTGATTCATTCCCAGAAATGCCTCCTACTCCCTACTTTTTCCTACAGTTTAATCACATTTCAAAAGTTCTTGTAATTACATCTTAGAACCCTCAATAGCTAATACTGGCAATTAAAGCAGAAACTAAAAGGAACGGGCATACTGAAAGGGGGCAGTAACACCACTCCACTGGACGGGAATCAAGGCTTGTTCGCAGTCTCTGCACTCTGTGCGCGAAGACCTCATGTAAATGAGTTAAATCCATTCGCGGGCAGGAGCACCGCCAAGGCTTTGTAAATGTTCAAAGCCCACAAATCAGTGAGCTGTCAATCGAGAGTTAATTACCCATATAGTATGTAAATACATTTCTATTTCTGAATGAGTGTCTCCATTATCTATCTGACTAATCTCTTGAACTGGAAAAATTAGATATATACTCCCTAAAATGAACATTAGAGTCTTCACTGTAATTTTTCTTATGTATCAAGGGCAAATTTTTAGAGAAATAATAGCACTTTCAAATTTTTGTAAATGTTACAGGGAAAATTAGACTTACTATCAAATACCTATTTTCATCCCATACTATTTTGGAACACACTGGCTAAAAGAGAAGACAAGCTTTGGTTCTATAAGCCTAAGAGTTCTACAGTGGATTTCATTTTGTTGTAGTGTCCATGAAATCACTCACAAAGTCATACTTTTGAAGAGAAAAGGCTTCACGCAGTACACCGAACCTGAATTAGTACAAAGCCACCATCACTGTTTCGAAGAAATTTTTACCATACCACCCAACTCTCTTTCCTGTCCTGCCACAGGGTGGCTGGATGGCGTCAACGCTGCAGTCCACACCTGGTGGGGCCCGCCCCTGTTCCTACGACTTATTATGCAAACCATGAAGCTCTGTAAAAGAATCACTGCTTGAAAAAGCACAAATCTGCCAACTTACATCTCCTTCCACAACAGCTTTTTTCCATATTTCTTTGGACATATAAAAAACTGAAGGTATTTTAAAGTATAATTCTGTAACATGCCTATAGCTCACATAATCAACAACTTGCAAAAATTACTACTAAAAAATCAGAAATAACAGTATCAAATTTTCAGTAAGCCTTCACTGAAATTTAATTCTATAATCGTACTTCTCTAATGGTCAGTTCTCAGTATTCGCTGCAATTTTCACCTTACCTTAATCATCCTGAGATATATATGCAAAGAAGCAGCCATCACCCCCACATCCCTGTCACAAAGCGCTTTCCGAAACTTAACGTGGATATGCTGCACTTGGTTAGGAGCAATGAGATGGAATTTGTACAGCGCCAGCACAGCTTTCCTTCGGATAATCTCCCTAAGGACAAAAAGTGAAATCTAAGTAAGACAATCTGAATCTCTAGGCATTTGGCTGGAAGACCATGATCCCGATGATTTTAAAATGTCAGCTATAACATTAAAAAGAAATACAGAATGATATACTTAATATTAATTTCTTTTTTCTAATACACTAAACTATAAAAACTACTTATCTCTAGGAGGTACAATCTCAAGAGACTTGAACTGTCCGTGTTATATGTTCTCTAGTTACGGAACTTTTAATAGCATACATGTATTACTTTTGAAATCAATTAAAACAAGTTACACAAACTTCTCAGTTCCCTAATTCTACTTTTAAAAACCTCATGGCTAGAAACTGGGAAAGAGACAACCGTAAGCTTACATCAGTCTAGTAACATTAAATTCTCTTTCCTAGTATTCAAATTTTTTTATGCGATAGCCAAGCATCCTCCAAATATCTCTGGGATGAGGAGACACATGGACTAAAAAGAAGTTATGCCTCCCCTTGCCCAGTCTATTTTTAAAACCTCAAAGGATAGCATAAATAAAGGGATGCAATGCTATACTTTTTTTAAAAGAAATCTTTTCAGTGCTGGATACAAACTCAGGCCACTGCATATGCTAGGCAAACATCTAGTAGCTAAACTCCCAGTCCCTTTTCTAAAATTATTTTTTTAGGGGCTGGGGATTTAGCTCAGCGGCAAAGCGCCTGCCTGGCAAGCGCAACGTTGTGAGTTCGGTTCCCGGTACCAGAGAAAAACCAAAAAAAATAAATAAATAAATAAAATAAAATTATTTTTTTAGGCAGGGCCTCAAACCTGTCCAGGCTGACCTCAAACTCACAATCCTCCTGCCTCAGCCTCCCCAAGAAGTTGCAGCTGAGATTCCAGGCATGTGCCACCATGCCCAGATCTCTATTCTGTATTTCTGACACAGTTTCCATGAACTATATTTCTCATTACTCTCTCTCATGCTCTTTCTACATATCTCACACTTGTAGACTAGGCTGGCAGTGCTCAGAACAATAACACAAAAGTGAAATATTTACTTTAGGGTTCCTTAACATATACTTCTTTTACCCAAAATCATACAATCTAAAAATTGAGGTCTTCAATGCAATACTTGTTGTTCCACTAAAGAATAGCTTTTTAAAGAAGAAAAAACAACAGCAGCAAAGACTACTCGGATAAAATTCAAATCAGTGGTTACCCAGCTTCTACTAAATTCCTTTATTACACAACTCACTTCTTCTAAGCAAACTATGCCATGATGGAAAATTCTTTTCACATTAAAAGAAAAGCAGATTAACAACAGACTTGCCATTAGCTTTTTTTTTTTTTTTGGTACCAGGAATCGAACACAGGGCCTCACGCTTGCCAGACAGGTGCTACACCACTGAGCTACATCCCCGGCCCTACCATTAACATCTTGATAACTGCAAACTACCTACCCATGTATTGTCTGTGGGTGTTAACAAGTATTAATTTTGGGAGAAAGCAGAGAGTTCATAAAGAAAAGAATACAAACTCTAAACAAGCTCAAGAATTTCTAAGGCTGGCCCTAAGTAGGGCGACTAACCCAAGACATCAAGATACTTACATTTGGGCTCTAGAACTGAGATGCTGAAATACAGCCCGGGCTGAAACACCGAGCCCAGGCCTGGTCTCACAGCTCTGTGATCCCCTCTGGCTCCCCAGCCCCGCCACATGCTACAGCTTGAAGCTGCATGTGGCCACAACTTTAGAAGTAGAGCTTCAAAAACCGTAAACTGCAGCTATGATTTAAAATTACACTAGTTGGGAAGCAATAAGGAAAAAAATTGAGAAAAGGCCTTTTAACTCTCAGAGTGATTTTATACAAATGGTTGGTAGGTAGGGTCACCACCAAAGAGTGGTGCTAAGAAAAAATTACATAAAAATATGCTGGTGCTACAATCAGGTCAAGCTATAAGTACCCAAGAAAAGTTACTATTTTATTTCCAATAATTAATTGCCTATAATCATCCTTTGTTCTAAAAAGATTTGACATATAAACTATCATGAAACATCTGAAAGCCCTAGAAGTTATCCTGTCATTCCTAGTAAATAGTATTTTAGTTAGGAGATTCAAAGTCCAATATTTCTTAAAATGTACAAGTTATAAGACAAGATTTTACAACCTAGAACATTAAAAATACCAACTTCAAGGAGCGTATGAAATACCAAGATGTACGAGTAACAAAAAGCTCTTTATCAAGAACGTATGTGTAACTAACACACTATAACCACAAAGGAAAATGACTACAAATTTTCTGCTAAAAGGAGCTTAGTTAAAATAAATTACAAGTGTGGTGGAAAAGTGTATTAAGCTGATCAGTAGCAGAGTGTCAGGAATCTTACAGGGGCACATCAGCAAAACACTGCAAGTTAGTGCTTATTTGGACGTACTCTGCTGTGTACTCCAACCTGAGTACTGTGGTTTCTATACAAAAAGAATCTTGCGGCTGGGGATTTAGCTCAGCGGCAAAAGCGCCTGCCTGGCAAGCGCAAGGTCATGAGTTCAGTTCCCAGTACCGGAGAAAAAAAAAAAAAAAAAAAAAAAAAAGAACCTTCCTCACATACGGAAGTTCCGCAGTCACAGCACTTACACTATCTTTAAATGTTTTCTATTACTTTATTTTACCCTCAAAACAATCTTGGGAGAACCAAGGAACTTCAACCAACCCCATACACAGATGAAAGAAAAGCAGAACCACTGCTTATTAGTGGTAAAACTGGGAGAAAAGCCAAGGATTCGGGATACTGAGCCTCACTGTCTCTCAGTTTAACTAGAAAGCTGCCTGACATTTTCTAAACTCCCAACTCTAAGCCTCCTAAAAAATAAAAACAATTCTGTTGGGGATTCTTGTGTTATACCTGGTGGCAAAGAATATTCCCAATTCTTGTAGCACTGAGTTCAAATTCTAGTAAATTTTCTAGTCTGAGTCTCTGCTTTGAAATAATATGGTACAGACAACTGTGCTGGAAGAGTTTACTTACTTAGAATGTTGGAGTTTGTCTTCGATTAGTGGAAGAACAGCTGGGATCATTTCTCGAGGGAAAATCTGGCTGACGATAGTAAGTGCCATACAAACTTCTACCAGGTTAGTGCTCTGCAAATCCTAGCATAATCATTAAGCAAAGAAGACATTCAGCGCAAATTCGGACACTAGGGATGGGAAACTTGACAGTGTAATGATCCTACGTACTTAGTAATTCTGCTTCAATTTTGTAATTAATTTGTACATTCAGGCTTATGTTATACTTTACCGGAATATCCCCATTTCTCTCATTTCTCTTAATAAAGTCAATAGATAAATATAGCCAAAAAACCACGGACACAAAAGGAAGCTTTTCATTTTGATACTGACAAAAGTAGTTTCTTTATTACTTTAAGTTTTCCAAACCAACAGGGCATAGTGGTGCATGCCTTTAATCCCAGCACTCAGGAGGCTGAGGCAGGAGAACTGCCACACATTTTGAGGTCAGCATGGGCTACACAGTGAGTTCAAGGCCAGCTTGAACTACAGAGTGAGACCCTGTCTCAAAAAACAAACAAACAAAAAACAAAAAAACAATTCTATGAATTTTTCTTTTTTCTTTTGTTTTTTTTTCTGGTATCAGGAATCAAACTCACAACCTTGTGCTTGCCAGGCAGGTGCTGTGACGCTGAGCTAAATCCCCAGCCCCGAATTTTTCTTATTAACAATGAGTGGAAATTTAAAAGCAAGCAATTATAGAAGTCATACAATAGACTTGTTCATATATAATCACATATGCATATAGCTTATACAATCGTTCTAATGGTACTTCAGAATGTTTTTTAAAGTGTCAAAAAAATTTAAACTACTAGTAACTTTAATATAGTATCCAACTTAAAATTTAGAGAATACCGCACACGTCGACTCTCACATATTATGCAACCTACAAAATAAAAGAAAGCTCAACAATTCAACTACACTTTGTTATTAATTCTACTAGTAGTTTAGTAGGGCGACATTTCAAGAGTGCAGGTTAAATTGCTTTTATTATCTATACAATTCAGTTACTCAATTATATTCTATGCCCATTCTAAATGACCTTCTGGAATTTAAAGATGGAGTTTTTAAAGATGGAGACACCGTACCTTTACCACAGTTTGGAGTTTAAAGTTATTCAGTTTATATCTCTGTCTCTTGAGACAGATCGAGAGACAATGACAACAGCGTGGAAAGTGCACCTAAGAGCCAGGCGATCTGGGCTGCAACTCCAGCTTGGGTTTTTAATTAAACAGTGATACCTTCAACAACAGCAGGAGCAGCAGCAGGGGATGTGCTTTACACAGCACCTCACAACTCTAAATTCAGGTACTCATCCCCATTTTACAGATGCAGACACTGATACACGAGAGCTTCCTAAACCCATTCGGTAAGCCCACCGACTTCCACATTATCTAACTCATTATGAGGGAAGAGAAGCACCAGATGCCTGCAGGGATCACTCAGGACTTCACGTTGACCATACGACACCGTACCTTTACCACGGTATTCACCAGGAGAAGCAACAGTTCGTGACTTTCATGGAGAAATAAAGACACAGCCAGATAACCTATAAAAATTAAGGGTGAAATCTCATTACTACCTACCCAAAATAAACTTTTCCCAAAAAGTTAAAGGAAATAATATGTTCCAAAAGTCTTAGGTGTCGAAATATATGCTATAGGTCAACCCAAAAACAAATTGCAAAATATGAGGCTAAAAAAGTGTGCTAAGGAAGATTTCAGGTGCTCTTCATCCTGAAATTTTTCAGAGTTATGTATTTCATAAATGGATGTGGTGGCACAGGCTCACAGTCCCAGCACTTGGGAGGCTGAGGCAGAAGGATCACTAGTGAGTTCGAGGTTAGCCTAGGCTACACAGTGAGTTCAAGGCCAGTTTGAACTACATAGCAAGACCCTGTCTCAAAAAAGAAAAAAAGAACATATTTTACAGGATGTATACCAAGTTAGCACCCTGTAAAAATATTAAGATGTGCTTTCTATTTCCTTTGCAAATCTCTACATCACCAATCAAAACATTCTCTATCTTCTCTGCCTTACAGTTAAACACATAAGTATTCACAAACTCATAATTATTAGTTAAGTCAGTACTGATTGTTTTATTACAGTATGAGCTGCCTACACCATCTATATGATGTAAATGACACATTAAGCCACACAATACTGTGTGTTCTCAATGCGAAGATATACTATTGCAAGAGGAACAGCTGTTCACCAAAGAGAAACTAGCTCCCACACTGAATGCACTCATGGGCTTAAATAAACATTTCGACTTCAATAATATTAAAACCTAAAAAGCACATTTTAGGATGAAATATGTTAGTGCCATGACAAATGACATGGACATGCAATCTACACACTTCACGCCATTTTCTCGGTCACCTCGCAGATTCACAATAACAAGTACTACGCAGCTACTATGGGTCAAGGATGTTCCAAGTCTTCCCTCACTTAGTTCTCAGGTACAGTTATTATGCCGATACATGTAACGAGGAGGACAGAGAAGGAGTGATCGCCCAGGGTTACAGGCAGGCAGTCCACAGGTACCGTGTCTCCAGACCATGCACCGTCAGGCCGACTCCTCTCACCTCACTGCTTTTCACTCTTCTCAAGTCTCTCAGATGGGTCCTTAAGAGATGCTTTGGTAACTAAGCCTGCCACTGGCTAGGATCCACACCGTCGGTATCTGTCACGCCATCGGGGAAACCAGAATCGTCCTATTCTCAGGCCGAGGAGCAGGAGCGTGGCTGACTGCACCATCCTCATGGCCGGACACAGGCGCAGAGCTATGGCTCCCACGGTCAGGCGAGAGGGAAAAACTGACCCGAGCATGGGACTCCGAGTCCAGTCTCCAGCACTACACACACGTGCACGCACACATGCACGCACATGTGCACACACACATGTGCAAACACATGCACACAAACCTGGCCAGGCCCGAGAATGAGGAGGAAAACCCCAAAGAGCACTTACAGCAGAGATGAAGTCTCACTGAAGGGCCAGCGAACCGCACCTTTCAGCGAAGGAGTCGCCCATACCCGAGACACCACTATCAAGGTCCAGGAGTTAAACCAAAGACCACCACGAGGAAACCCGAGTTCTGCCTGTTACAAACAGCTCGCCTGTGCCGACAACAGAGAATGAGCGGAAAAGGTAATCTGCGCTACAAAGAATGAAAAGCTTTTCAGGGGAACGAAGAGGAAACAGTGAGTATGCTTGTATGACAGCGCGAGGTGCAGAGCAAGAACACAGGCCTGGACTCGCGGAAATGTGGGTCCACATTCGGGGTCCACACTCACCACCTCCATGACCTTGGACAAGTGACTTACGCTTCCTGAGCCTCTGTTTTCTCATATTTTAAATGGAGATAAATACAATCTCAGAAGATAAAGCCCTTAACATCACAGCTGACTTAATGGGTGCTGAAATGTATTTACCCAACAATATTCACACAGATGCCAAGGCGGCACTGCCCACCGCAGGAAGTACCAAGCTGGCCTTAAAAACCCCAGGACAGCAGGTGGGCAACGGCACCAGAGCAAAGGCAGACTGAAGGTTAAACGCCACCTTAAAAAGCGGCTTCCACTCGACAGCACACATCAAGATTACCTGACACCGACAGATACATGCGCTCCGGTTGGCAAGACCATGAATGTCCACAAACACGGCTCCGAACTCACTTAAGAAAAGCTCCTATAACTATGCACAGATAAACATACCGTGTTACTCACTACAGTATTCACAAGAGCAAGGAAATCAAATACCACTCATATGTCCACAATAGGAACCCAGTTGAAAAAACTACGGCACGTCCCCCCTAATGAAAATTATACAACTACAAGCATGCAGGAGGCTGAGGCAGGAGGACTGCTGTGAGTTTGAGGCCAACCTGGGCTACAAAGTGAGTTCAAGGCCAGCCTAAGCTACACAGTGAAACCCTGTCTCAAAAAGACAAAAAAGAAAAGAAAATTATACAACTACATATAAAAACAACTATAGAACAATCTATGTAGTATGATATCATTTTATCACTTGAGCAAGAGACAGTGAAGTTGGCTTTCACTTTTCCCAAATCTTCAACACTGGTTGAAAGCTCCTTTTGAGCCTTTCCTTCTTAGAAAAGAAAATAACAGCAAGACTCCATATACAAACTTCCAGAACAGCAGGATCAGAAAGACTTTAGACACAGGAAAACCGCTCCTCCAGAGGCAAACTCCAGCTGCAGGGTGGCAACAAAAAGAGACTAGGACAGGAAGGGCTGGTCTATGTCGTAAGTAAAGCACTGGTGAGAAAGCCCTGCCTTTAGCGTTTTACAATGAGCCCAGAAGCTAAGATGTGGGAGTCATCTGAGTGAGCTCAGAAGAGCTAAAACTTGACTCGGAATGTGGACGGGGAAGCAGGTTGCCAGAGGACCTCTTCTCGGAGAAAAGAAATCCGGAAGATCAAAGAGTACCTTGCGTGAAGTGGAATGTTGCACGCATGAAGCCTCAAAATCTTTACCAGGACACCTTCCTCCCCCGCCAGGCACCCGACAGTGCAGGGCGCTAGTCCTTGTCGACAGCTTTACACGGGCACGCCCTTCACCCGACACTGCTCGAACGTGCTTCCCTCCGGGGCTCTGAAACAAAGCTGAGCCTTTGCAAAGCGGAAGATTTAAGTCCTTGAGAGATTTCTTTCCTAACGGCCTACAGGAGGACCACAGAGACAAAAATTTGAAAAAGGTACTACTAACCCTCACAGTAACATTCGTGAAAGCAAGAACAGGATATTTAGAGTTATTCCAATCAATTTTAGTTTTTTACCTTAATAAAAAGAAACACATCTGACCAGTAAGCCTAAAATCTAAGGTATTAAGGTATAATTTGGATACCAGAAAATTCACTAATTTTGAGTATATAGCTCAATGAATTTTGACAAATACATGTAGTCATTTAACCACCCTCAGAAGAGCAGGTGAAAAAAAAAAAAAGAAGAGCAGGTGACTTTTCATTTTCTCTAGAACTCTAAAACACTATAAATCAGGGAAAGTAGTTTCATTTACAGGCTTTGGATTTCTGAAGTCATCTTCTCAGGTTTGGAGAATATAAGGCAGAGTTCTAAAACCATACTCTGCACTTGCTTGTCATCCTTCATCTTTTGGGTGGGGGTTGAGGCAAGGTCTCCCTGTGCAGCCCAGAATGGCCTCAAACTCACTGCCTCAGCCTCCCAAATACTGGGATTATAGGCATGCGCCACTGTGCCCGGCACCATCACTCATCTTATATAAAAACTGGAACTTTTATGACAGTATTGAAGTACGAAAGTCTTACACACGGTACTTACCTACTCTTTTTTCTAAGAGATTTCCTTGTTGGGCCAGCTTGATTGCATGTATATAGCCAAAGGAAGCATCATATCCAAGCATTTCACAATATATAAGTCTCACCATACATTCTTTCATTGTTTTCTGGAAAACAAAATACCCGGTCATTATATAAACAAATAGAATGTTCTGATTTTGCATGCATGCGTGTGTACGTGTGTGTGTGTGTGTGTGTGTGTGTGTGTGTGTTGTGATTTAACAGGAGAATCCTTTAATTCTGGCATTGAAGAAAAAATATACACATTATAAATTAGTCACCCAATAACAGACTATGTAAGTAAAAGTGGCTTCCAATCTTAATTACCAATAGTATTAATTTTAGTAAAACTATTTTAAATATTTTCACAGTAGTGCAAATAAATCAATTATACCTATTTCTAATGTTCTGTACCCATCGTATAAAATTGGTTATAACATGAAACATGTGGTCTTCATACAAAATGTCATCCATAATAATCTTATTTGGCATCTAAAATTACATACTTCAAGGGAAATCTACTTTATTAAATGAAAAAAAACACATAAAATTTTCACAGGTTAGCAGTAATTTTTGTAATAAGAACATTTTTCACATTTAAAAATGAAATTACAAGCTGGGCATGCACCTGTAGTCCCAGCACTTGGCAGGCTAAGGCACAAGGATCATGTGAGTCCAGGAGTTCAAGAACAGCCTGAATAACATAGCTAGACCCCATCTCAACAAAGAAACAAAAACAAAGAAATAAAATGGTGACCTCGACTTTCTTCAGAAATGTTATGCTACATATGTGTAACAGCCTGCTTCGTAGGTACTTTTTTTTAAATGAACTTACGGCTGGCCTATTACCCTTCACCAGCCACAGTAAAACTACACAACTGAACTTTCTTTTTCTCCTCTTCCCTTGTTTTTGCAATGTCAGGGGTTGAATCCCAGGCCTTAGCAATGCTAGGCAAGCACTCTATCACTGAGCTACACCCTCGCCCAAGGACTTTTTTTTCTTTTTTTTTTTTTTTTCTGTTAAAAACAGGGTCTCGCCTTTAATCCCAGCATTCGGGAAGCTGAGGCAGGAGGATCACTGCAAGTTTGAGACCAGCCTAGGCTACAAAATGAGCTCAAGACCAGCCTGAGCTGCACAGTGAGACCCTGTCTCAAAAAGACAAAAAAAAAAAAAAAGAATTAAAGACAGGGTCTCACTATGCACCTCAGGGGCTTGACTTGAACTCACTATGTAGCCCAGGCTGGCCTCAAACTCACAGTGAGTCTTCTGCGCCAGCCTCCTGCGTGCTGGGATTAGAGGCGTGTGCCACCACACCTGGCATAAGTACTCTTTTTAAGTAATTCACAATTATCAGGAACTCAAGGGCCTAATTTCATTAAAAGGATAGTTATCCCAATGATATTTAATTTTTAGTGGGCTCTTTTAATATTTGTTAAGACTAAAATTGCTTAAATGACATAAATTTGTTTTATCCGTGCAACAATATTTGCATTAATATTTATAGGAAATTTTAGTCAGAAGTAAAAATGCTTCAAAATAAAGAAAAGCTCAGACCTTTAATATCTAAAAATTACCATATTACAGTATTAAATCAAAAACGCTTATAGTATATACTACATAAGCACTTTGTGATTTAATAGTAATAGTAAACCAAATATTCTAAGGAAAGGATAATAACATTTAATATTGCACTGCATGTGTGCATGCATGTGTGTAAATACAGAGTTTAAAAATACCACAGGAAAATCATAGGGGAATGAGACTCAATTGAGGTCACTTGTGCTTCAAGCAATAAAAGTTAATTAATTAACATATTAATTAATTAAGGTTACCAAATACTGGAGCTGGGGAGATAGCTCAGAGTATTTGGTTAGCTTGTGCAACCCCTGAGTTCAAGTCCTAGCCCCATAAAAAAACACTACTAAATACCAATAAAGACCACGTCCCTCTTCAAAGGCTTCTGTGTTAATTAGAAAGATAAGTGTTAATTTAAGCCATGAAGTTTCAATCCTGGATTTATAACATTACCTCAGAGTACTCCAAAAGTCATTACAAGTTGTGAGTAAAATTGTCAAATGCATTACCATTCTCTTATTTTTAGAGAAAAAGTGCATTCCCCAATGTAGTAATTCTCCTACAACTTTTCTAACAGTTTTGCTACCGTTCTACGGTCACCTTAGACAGCTCTAAGAGGGATGCCCAGAGCTGGAGGGCCATGGTTACAACAGAATCGTTCTCCCAAACCCTGGCTCCCTGACTTCCACCAATGTGAGTTCTACCCAATGCCAGGGCTATGCCCTGTGGCAAGGAAAACTGCAGGGCAGAAGTAGTTCAGTAGCAGTGTTTGACTAGCATGCAGAGGTCCCTAGGCCCTAGCGCCGGAAAAAAGGAAAAGAAAAAGTGTGTATGGTGATATCAATTACAGAAAATGGAAATCTAACAAAAAGAAACTATCTGCTGAGTGTGATGGTGCACACCCGTAATCCGGTCATTCTGACAGGCTGACCCAGGGGTGAGGCGGTCGCAGAGCCCAGCCTCGGCAGCTCAAAACATAAATAAGGACACCACTTCTCTAACATTTCTATCAAATACATAAAGTACAAAAATTTTATACAGATACCTAAAATTCTACACGCAAACATACACATACTAAAATACAGAGATATTAGACTGATGTCTTGAGTTTTATTGGTCCACATATTATTATTATGACCATAAAAGAAAATATACATTCTCTTAGACTTTACAAATATTATTCATGTTCCTGATCATGTACTCATGTAAAATGATCACCTTCGGTGGGGGCAGGGAGAACATTCCCACACTGACACAAACGCACTCAGGAAAAATATGCCTATTAAATGTTGGTTGGGAAAAACCTCATTAAAAGAAAGGAAGCTGGGTACAGCGGTGCACTGTAATCCCGGCAACTCGGGAGGCTGAGGCAAGAATATGAAAGCTCAAGACCAGCAGGGGCAATTCAGCAAGGCCTTGTTTTAAATAAAATAAAAAGGGCTGGGGATGTAATCCAGAGCTCTCTGGATCCAACCTCCAGTACCACCAAGGGAAAAAAGGTGCGATACGTTATTTAGATATATTGAGCTATCACATTACAGCCAATAAAAATGTACAATTATTAAAAGTAAAAGGCAACAAAAACCCAGGTCTTAATCTAACTATACAAGGAGAGCCGCACAGGAACCCGAAAATGGTGGCTACTCATTAGTAGCCGCTGAACAAATGCTGTCTGAAAAATCAAATTCTATCTAACCAAGTTTAAAAATATGTTACTGGCTCTTGCTTTAACTGCTGTGCAATACACTCAGTTTCAGAGCAAGAAAACAACCACTCTACCTGTCAGCCAACCTACGCCCCAAAGGTATACCAGTAAAATTAAAGACGTGGTGCACCTTAGGGGGAGGGGGATGCAGCTCAGCGGTAGGGGGTGAGTTTGGCATTCATGAAGCCCTGAGTTTGATTCCCAATACCCCCGGCCGCCTCAAAAGAAAATCTGTATCAATTTTGGAAAGAAAATATGATGTTCAATGGCACACCCTAACCTTTCAGAGCACACAACATTAAAACAAGACGATGAGGACCGGAGCGCCAGGACTGCACAGCCACATATGTGTGATCGCTGCCACCTCTGTCCTGACTTTAACCGTCAGCTCCGCCGTGGTCCGCTGCAGCCGGCCAACCATAAAGACCCACATGTCTGCTACCGCCTCCAGCCAGCTTGCACTACGAGACACTCAAGAAACTAGCAGCTGGATGCCCTGTCAGTCGGTGGGCCCGAGTCCGCGCTCGGACGTGTGGGCACTGACTGCAGACTCACCAGTGTCGTCGTGGGAGCAGAAACAGTGGCCTTTAAACTGCTCAGTTCCTGCTGGATTAATTTCTCTTCTTCCTGAAAAAGTGGAAGTATGTATAAGCTTGAATAAACCGTCTTTTTAAACTAGCTCAGTGGCATAAGCACCTGCCTGACAAGTGCAAGGTCCTGAGTTCGATTCCCAGTATCAAAAAAAGAAAAAAAAAAAAATCATGGAAAAATTTTAAAAAAACAAACTGTAATAGTATTTTGAAGGGGAAAAATAAAATACTACTTTCAATTATAAAGAAACATTATTTTGGCTAAGTGTGATGACACACACCTGTAATCCCAGCACTCAGGAGGCTGAGGCAGAAAGATCACTTCAAGTTCAAGGCCCGCCTTGGGCTACAAAGTGAGCTCAAGGCCAACCTGAACTGCATGGTGAAACCTTGTCTCAAAAAAAAAAAAAGAAACATTATTTTGAGAGAGATAAATATTATGTGCTTAAGATGTGCATCTCACTCACCCTCAGAACCATTCCTAGAGTATTCCCAGGCTAACCCACCTTTTCTCTTCTTCACTCAGATACCGGCCGCTGGAAAGATGAATTGGCCGAAAAATGCTTCTAAAAAATTAAAAGTAGAAAGAAATTCTCCATGTCCTGGCCCAGGATAAGTCTCATAATTTCCCTTAAAACTAAAAAAATCTTCATGGAATACAGAAATAGGGTAAGAAGACACAAATAAGCAGTTTCTTTCCTTTTTTTTGAGACTGGTTTTTGCTACATAGTCCAGGCTGGCTTTAACTATGTAGTCCAGGCGGCCCTTGAATTTGTAATCCTCCTGTCTCAGCTTCTCAAGTAGCTGGGTGTGGAGAAGGGCTTTCTATAGCTTACCTTTCAATGTATTACCTATGTGGGACTTTGAGCCTGACCAAGCCACGTGACTGATTCTAGAGGAAGTTTAGCAAAAGTATTAGTGTATAAGGACAGGAAAGTAGGACCTTAGTCCCTGTGGAAAGCCGCTGAGATAACACTAGCTGCTTTGTGGAGATACGTCCGAGGGAATGATGACCTGGTGGCTGGCTAAGTCAAAGTCCAGGTCCTGGGACAATTAAGCTGTGTTGCCCTCGCCAACCCTGTTAATGATTCCGCCCATTTCCCCTGTCCCTGCTTTTTGTGAGAATCCCAGGAAAAGGCTAAAGAAGATTGTAACTGAGGCTTCAGTCCTATAGGCTGCAGCCCCCTGACCCCATAACTGTCTGTCTTGTTTTTCTTTTCATCTGCCGCACCTCGTTCTCGGGACCTGTCACCCCACACAGAAACTGGCATATAACCCACAGCTGGGTGACAGGCACGTTCCCTCACCCTACTCTTTCTCATTCACTCTCATACACACACCCCAACATAGTCATCCCAGTGTTTACATTATATTTAATCTTCTTAAACACTTAAAAATTGGCCCTACATGGGGCTAATATATTGCTATCTTTAAACACACAGTGAATTATCAGGTGTTATGGTTCAGATCTAAATTCTGTCCCCAGAATGGTGGCACACCCATGTCATCCTAGCACTTGGGAGGCTGAGGCGGGACTGCCGTGTGTTTGAGGCCGGCTTAAAGCTGCATAGAGCAAGACCTTTTCTAAAGTTAATAACAATAATAATGATGATGACGATGGTGATGTAATAAATAAATAAAAGGTTCCCAAGGACGCATGTGTTTGGAAGGTGACTGGGTCATGCGACTCTGCAGCTGACTTGCTCTCAGGAGGCAGGGTGTGGCCAGAAGAGACAGGTCACCGGACCCCTTCACGATGCCCCTCCTGCTCTGATGCTGGCCAGATGTGGGCTAGAAGCCTGAGCCTGAATAACCTCCTCCTCCTTGGAACTGCAGGTCTCAGCAACTTGGAAAGTGACTAAGACAGCAGGTGCTCATGAGACAGCTGATGAAGAGCTACTAGTCAAGTACTGCCGCGTTCAGAGCATTTCAAAACGCAATGTAAGACTAAAAAAATTTTTTTTGGCACTAGGAATTGGAACTCAGGGCCTCTACCATGGAGATATGCCAGCCATTTTTTTACTTTTTATTTTCTTTTATTTTATTTCTTCAGTGAAAGTCTCCTTAAGTTGCCTCGGCTGGCCTGGAATTCTGGATCCTCCTGCCTCAGCCTTCCGAGAAGCTCGGATTACAGGTGTGCACATCCACTCTGGGCCCCAAAATAAACGCCAGTCAGCAGCTCATAAAAATGAGCAAAGGACAGAAACAGGAAGAGCAACAATATTAAGTCCACAAACAATGACTATGGAATGTGCAGCAGCCGACCTTCTCCGGCATAGCAGCGTCTTGGGTCAGCTTAGAGAAACATTCGGACCCTTTATCGTACTGGGCTTTTCCTCCTGACCCTTACACTGCCTTGCTGTGACGCTTACACTTAAGCCTCCAAGGGACGGTCGGTTCTCTGAAAGAACAGGCTGTATTTTCCTCGGTGTGTAACACATAACCTAGCTCCACACGTCTGCTGAACAAATTATGACACACTGTGTTTTTAGGGTACCGACTCCTTGATGCCTTGAAGCGGCATCTGATACAATCCGCGCCATTCCCAAACGTCTGCGGGAGCTCCACTGCCCCTGGAACAGCTCGTTTTCAGGGCGCCTCCGAGGCAGAGACTTACGCAGCAAATTTCACACTTCGGGGGAATGTAAGCTTCCTTTTCTTTGCCCGACCCGCGGCCTGCCAACCTGCCGCTCC